AACCAATAGTAGATCACAGCAACCAATAGTAGATCACAGTGACTAATAGTAGATCACAGTGACTAATAGTAGATCACAGTGACTAATAGTAGATCACAGTGACTAATAGTAGATCACAGTAACCAATAGTAGATCACAGTAACCAATAGTAGATCACAGTAACCAATAGTAGATCACAGTAACCAATAGTAGATCAGTAACCAATAGTAGATCAGTGACCAATAGTAGATCAGTGACCAATAGTAGATCAGTGGCCAATAGTGAATCAGTGACCAATAGTAGATCAGAGTAACCACCAATTAATGATATTTACATTACCTTGACTGATATATCTTCCCTTCCGTGTGGATTAGTATTAAAGTATGCAATTTCAGGACTAAGAAATGTCGGCATTTGGGCATACATTTGATAACATGTCTTGGCTAAATTCTCAGAAAGTTCCAAGTGTGATTCACTCAAACCATTCAAATATCCCAATGCCAGAGTACCAACAAAGAAACACACCAAGTGATCCTGTTAATGAGAAAACAAGACAAGTCAGAAACAAATCATCACACAAAGTAGGTCAATTCAATGGGAGAAACAAAATCACAAACAAACAACAAAGTAGATCAATTTAATAGAAATGAAATCACAAACAAAGTAGGTCAATTCAATGGGAGAAACAAAATCACAAACAAACAACAAAGTAGATCAATTTAATAGAAATGAAATCACAAACAAAGTAGGTCAATTTAATAGGAGAAATGAAATCACAAACAAAGATAAAACTGGGAAAAAATATTTCTCCTTGCATTTGGTAAACTATATATTATGCTTTTTTTAACATAGCAGTGAGCTTTTAATAGCAAGATATTTCTTCTTAAATGCATCAACGATGTACGACATGATTCACTACCATATCATAATTACAATATTGTATTATGCACACTAGGTTTTTGAGGAGCAACATTTTATGCTACATACCATTTTTGGGCTGAAATTATTTCCACTAAGTAGTTCTCCAATAAATGTTAATCCATTTGGAATTGTTTCTTTCACTAATTTATCTTTAATTCCTTCCACAGCAGATATATATTCAACTTTGAATCT